GGACCCTTAAGATTGGGGGATTAGGGTTTGCGTGAGGGTTTAGGGCTGCAGTTAGGGTTCAGGGTTCAGGGGTTCTTTTGTTTATAAGGGTTCAGGGGTTCAGAGTTTAGGGTTTGGGTTGAGGGAGGGTTTAGGGTTTGGGTTAGGATGTAATGTTGAGGGCTAGGTAACGTTTAGGGTCTAAGGTTAAAGGTGCTTAGGGTTTAGGGCTCGGGCTCGGTGTTTAGGGCTTGGGGCTGACAGGGTTTTTTAGGGTTGGGGTTTAGGTTTCGCGGTAAGGCTTTAGGTCTTGGCCTCAGATTTAGGGATTGGATTGAGATTGATAGTGCCAGGACCTACGGTTTCAGTGATTTAGACCTAATGTTCAGAGTTTTGCCGGTCTTCAGGTGGAGCCCGATTTTTCCGGGAAATGATTACATGAACAGTTTCCTTGAAAACTGGCCTGAGTTGGGATGTTGTCAAGCGTCGAGGAATCACAGCTCCGAAAACTTCGACACTTCTGTATTTCCCGAAGAGAACATGTGAGAAGTCACAATCGACCCAAACTCAAGCGACCCCTCCCTACCTTTGGCAGGGCGGAGACTCTGGGGAGTGTATTTCTAGACTTGGGGGATCAAGGTTTAGGGTCTGCGTCTGGGGCTTGGGGCTTTGGGTTTGAGGTTTTTGGGTCTGAAGCATCACTGGAATAAGAACTTGGTAGTATACTATACATTTTAGAATGGATTTCCAGTGAACAGGCTCACGTACAGGCCTTCGGATTTTATGGCTTCAGGGTGCAGGGTTCCGCGTTTAGGGTTCAGGGCTTGGAGTTTGGGACTGAGAACGCAGAGCTTCGGGTTTGGCCTTTTTCGTGTAGGGTTGAGGGTGCGGGGTTCACGGTTGCAGGGGTCTTAAGATGGGGAAGGATTCACAGGGCCAAAGCTAAGGGCCTCTAGATGTGGAAATTTCTAGGGACAGAAACACAAAACCTAAGATTCACCCAGGTTGTAGCTTGTGGCCCCCTTGGCGAATGGGTGCTCTGCGTTTGAGGATCCATGTTTATAGTATTTAAAGGTATGCTGCAAAACAGACACAAGCAGCAGTCGACGGCGACATTGTCTCCCTCCTATCTGTGGATGAAGTCCAACTTTTGCTGCCCTTTGCCCCAGCATGCCCAGCAGGCGTTGGCCTAATTTTGCCGGAAGCTTAGAGCAATCCTGCGCCAAGGGAATCAGACAGCATGATTGTCAGCCTCTTGGTCGCTTTGCGGGTTTTCTCTCTGAAAGATGACCGTTTTGCTTCTGACGCGCTGTGCGCTTTTTTTGGAGTCAAGAAGCCTATGCCAGTCTGCAGCCATCGAAGCCCAAGGAAACGCTGCCTGGCTTGTTTTCTGTAAACAGCGATGTTGAAGGCGAAAGCATAGTTTCTTGTGGCACATGGAATGCAGAGGTGTGTGATCAACGCAAACGTCATTCCGTCCCTAGCATTTGAAGTGCTTATAGAAATCCAGATACAGCAGAACAAGCCAAATCGTTATTGAGCATACGCCTGCAACTGCAATGGTGCGTCCCGACGAGGCACCTCCAACAGGATGTCGCAAGACGCGCTATGATTATGCTGCTGAAATCATGGTGCTTGTTAGCCTCATACATTGCCGAAACGAGCCAGTCAGCTGGTAGGCCCTGGGCAGAGGGGCATAAGCAAACAGGGCATGTGGTAGGTCACTCTATGGGCCACGCGAGAGACGTGCTGCCTTTGCAAGACTATCACAGCGACAGCAAAAAACTGTGGTACTTGAGCGACCAAGCCTTCATCGTCATCCTCATGCAGCGGAATGCAATAGCCTGTGAAGTAACAATGACCTGAGGAGCTTTGTACAATGTTGACTCCGGCCGTGGATCAGCTACGTTGATGAATGCCGCCATGCCACAAGCAATTGCTGCCGCACTGGCAAATGATTCGTCCGAGGCTTCCACAGACCCCTTGCGGATCAGGAGGCATCTGCGTGTGGAAGGCTTCTGACTGCATCCAGCCTGAAGGAGGGCTCCACGCAGTTGATGGCGCCAACGTTGCACAGCATCTTCCATACCCGGTTGGCAGAAGGCCTCAACGCAATCGCCAAGCACATCCTCCAACACTAATATTGCACGGCTCAGTTCTGCAGTCAAAGGCTTTGCCTTCGAGTGTACCAGCAGCGTCCGTACACCTGCGGCCCAGGCATCATGTCATGTTCAACTATTCCAGAATATGAATGAAGCCGCCAAAGAAGCCAAAGGATTGGCCAAGACTAGGGACGGTCTTCCGCACAGGGGCTCGCATGCTTCACCTGCTCTAGCTAGACCATCAGAGTCTAGCAGTGGTACAGTACCGTTCTCACACATTGCATCCAGTGCACTGCACTCTCCACGCCAATTTTGAGCGCACAAACTTGCTGAAAACACCGAGTTTATAGGGAGGAGCACACGCAAGGCAACATGAATAAACGCGTAGTCCGCCTGACGGCAGCGGAGCATTCAGGGAGACCAGCGGCTGAGGCAGCCAGGGAGCAGGCAACAGCAATCGCCTTGAAGCAAAAGGCTCAGAAAGAGCTACAAGTACCAAGAATGTGTGGCTCTGCCTGGACAAAGTTTCCACGGCTCCAGCAGCTGGGCAGTGAAGGAAGCATCCCAGAGACTCAATGAAATCGCTGAGGGACTGCGGCGAAGACCGCACAAGGAATACCAATTTGCGCACACTTACGCATCGGATCCTCTTGCAAGTGATGTTCAAGGTGCCCAGGCCGTGAAGAGGCAGCGAGATCATCAAGGAGATGTAGGACCTCACTGGGCCAATGCAAAAGGTCAAAGGCCGTTCGTTCACTGCATGGACCAGGACCGGCCTGGCAAGCCCTGCGCTCCCAACTGCGGCAACTGCAGCTGTCAGAATACTCGCCTGCGGTCTCCTGGTGACAAGGCGCACAAAGCCTCAGGCTTGCACAAGTGGGAGTTCCACACCTTCATGTGATTCAGCGCTCGAAGCGCTGCTCCCAAGGCTTCAGCCTCCAAGACTGCCAGCTCCTGCTCAGCACTTGACACTTTCTTACTGTGGATGTTGCGCCCTCTGCACACCTCCTGGGATGACCCAGCATGCCGGCACCGCGCCAGGCGCTCTGCCAGGCAACGGGCAAGACCTTTTTTCAGCAGCTGGCATTGAAAATATGCAGCCGTCCAACAAAACATGAGGGAAAGATGCTGAGGCAGCGGCCGAAATCATCTTTGCCAGTGCGATACTGGGCCTCTGCCAAGGCCTCTAGTGGCTGGCATCAAAGCAAATTCTAAAGATGAGCATTTCCGTCATCCTCCATCTAAACATGCAAAGATGATTCTCGAGCCCGGCAAGTCAGGTTTGCCTCATCCTCCTGCCAACAAGCATCTGGAACAAGCTGGCCGTGCAGGTGTTCCAACTTCTGGCTGGTTCTGATGCTCCACGAACGATGTTGGGGCGCCCAGAATCTGCTGCTTGACGAGGACTCCAGCTGCAGAATTGATTCTTTGAGCCATTTCTGCCACTCTTTAGCAAGGCTTGTCCGATTCCTCCACATTCTCATGGCATGCTCGCACGCGTTGATGTGCAACGTCTGACGAGCCCTGCGACTTATGCGGCAACACAGGTAGTTTTCGCAACTTTGCAGAAAACGGAACGCTCCGCTTTTGCTGCAGCACCGAAGCCACGTTGGCTTAGCTGCCAAGGTTATAAGGCATTGGTGATCGACACGACTGCCTGGCTCCTCCGACTGCTGCTGCGCTCCCAACGTATCACCTCTCCTGCCCGTTGTGCGCCAAGGGGCCGAGGCAGACGCAGGCTAACACTCAGCATTAATCTGCTCCATGCTGAAGACAAGGCGACGCTTGCAATGCTGCTGTGCCAATACTGTGCTTGAGAGCCAATTACCACGTTCAGGATTTTCGGAGCTGGCGCAGCTGGTGAGGCTCGAGCAAAGTGGCGGAAGAGCGCCAGGTAGTCACCTCTGTACCCCAGAACTCTCGTGCGTCTAGCCCTGCTTTCACAAAACATTGCCGGTAAACACCCCTTGTTTGAATAGCTTTCCCTTGCTTCATCATGGCCTGCACAGGAGACGATCGCTGCCTGCTCACCGTCGCTGGAAATGTCGATGCAAAGTTCTTCCGAATCACCTGCCGCAAACAGCCACGCCCTTCAAGGGCTCAGCTTCTTCCACTGCAGACGGTCTGCTTTGTTGTGCGCCTGCTATGGCGGCATCCAAGGCTTGGAGTACACCCGCACCAAGACCCACAGCTTTGCAACGGTAACGGACATCGCGCAGCTCGGCAAGCGTGAGGTCCTCTGCTGCGCAGAGCTCTGAAACACACAGAATGCACCATGAGCTTTTAGTCATCTAGCCATTCCGGCTCGTTTACTAGTTGAACGTCCAGGGCACCAAGTCGCCATAAGAAAGTTGTGAGGCCAAGTGGGCCTGAAGAATTGTCTAGGAAGACCGACCACAACATGCACCACAACATGCAATCAAGAGATGTGTTTCTGACTTAGAGAGGCAAGGTCAGGTGCATGCCTCAAGCTCCAGGAAGTGGGCTTCAAGATGACACTCCTGAAGCAGCAAAGGCAAGCTGGTGTGAATTACCTGTGAAATGTAAAGGCAGCGTGGCCTCATCATCCATCATGCAGTACAGGCTGCTTGTATCCCATGATGCATGAGTAACGCAACCAACTTGACTCGGTCTACTTCAAATTACAAACTATCTCCTAAGCCCTGTACTCCATCGGTGAGCCAATTCAAGTCTGACGCAAGCATTCAATCTAGGAGTCATATCCTCAGCTCAATCATCAACGATGCACTGGCATATGTTTTGTCATGTTTTGTTCCTGCTGCCGCTCGAAAATTTTACCGTGGATGGTGAAACATAACAACCCCCATTCATGGAAGTCTGCCAGGGAAGTCCGTGGGTTCTGCTGGCCAAATGGTCAAGAGCATGTTCTGCTGGCAAATACCCCCTGAGGCCCAAATGTCAGGATGGCTCATCCTCCCTCTTGGCGCCCGAAACAAATGCCCGGATGTTCACGAGTGTAGGCCTTCAAGGAACTCCGCATCTAAGCTAAGTCATCAGTCGTCCCAGATTAGATTCGGATAGACTGGCCTCCGCCATTCGTTGCTGCGCTCCGGCTTAATGCCTGTCCCAAACACATTTATAGCAGCAACTAAGACATGCTGAGATCGCAGCAAGCAAACCGCGTCGGACCATCAATTCCCACAATCCACCCAGTCTCCTCCACATCACAGGTCTGGGAATTTCTGAGACAGCTGGAGAACAACATCAAGGAGGTTCACTGTCCTCTTTTGACTTTTTCTTCTCCTTTTTCCTCGCTGGTGCTGGCGAGACCTCCTGAATGTGTGTCCAGTTCCGTAGCGAAGCAGCTGCGGATGCCTTTTTCTTGCCTCTTCCGTGAAGCCAAGCTGGTGCATCGGCTCTTTTGTCATCAGGTTTTTATCCATGCGGCACTGCAGGTACCTTCATGTGCACATGCACCCGCATCATGCCAACGGGCATAGTGAAGAGCATTCTTGGTTCTTTACATACCGTTGTCTGGGGCACCGCTTGGACAAATACCGGCACGACATGTTGTCGTGACTGTGCTGCTTCAAGCACTGCAGGTACTCGTCCTGTCTTGCACTCAGCACAGGCTGCGCTGTTGCAACATTTTACAAACCTCTAGTGCCCAGAGTTGCTGACACGCGCTAAATATCGCAGGTGAGCCTTCCTAAGATGAACAGACCTCACGTTGACATGGAACGCGCGTGGCGCACTATGCAGCTGAAGCATGCAAGCCCAAAACACCTTCAGGCTATTTCTCCTTGAGCTTCGAGCACTCGCTGAAATGGTCGAGCGGAAAGGAGCCCTGGATGCGCAACCCGCTCCCAGAATCAGTCAAGCAAGGCAGTGCCTTGTCTGGCGGGCGGCCGGGCATTATCCGCTTCCCCATGGACACCTTCAAGCTTTTCAGGGCAGCCAGCACAGTGGCAAAGCAACCCAAAGAGGCAGCAGTCTAAGCAACTCCCATCAGACATGGCCATGAACTTCGAGACTTTTCCCACCGATGTTCTGCATGTCGGCTGCAAACCGTGTAGCGCCGCTGCACTGCCCGAACTGTACGTCCAGTTCGTGCAAGGCGTTCTAGCACCGGCAGGGCTTTTAGTCTGATGCATGTTGGCACAGCGCTGCTGAATTGCAAGTCTGACACAGCTGTGCCTCTACTGGAGTTTTGGTATGTCACGATGCAGCCCATCGACATCAGCCAGCGGGCAGGTCTCCGATCAGCACGGCCGGCAATCCAAGCAGCCTCCTGTCACTGCGAAGAACATAATGTCGCACTCCTGTTGACGTGTTGCAAGTTGCATGCTTGTCTCGAAGCCTGCGGCAGATTTGGGCACTGCAGCAGGATTCGGACGGAAGCCTGAAGAGTTGCAGGCAAAAAACATCAATGTCTGCACAGAAAGCTTCGTGCTGAGAGGCTGAGATCCAGGATGGGAGCGCCGTATGGCCGTCGCCGCGACGCATTGAGCCTGAGCTCTTATGAGTTTTCGAGCTTGTTCTCTCCGCGTTTTTTTGGTTCAGAAGTGTCTTCCACTCAGCTCCAGGCAGAAATGGAATGCAGAGCAACAAAACGATCACCGCGAGCCTGTGCGAGCAAACGCTCTACCCATCCCTTTTCTGAAACTTATCATGGTGCCCAAGCGGCATGTCGCACACCACTGCCCAGGCAAGCTTGGGTACACCCCAAATGTACTCCTTGCAAGCCAAGGTTTAAAGTTTTAAAGTTCATGGGAAAAAGCAGCCCGCGCCCAAGCAATTCAATTGCTGCAGTCCCAGAATCGCATTTCGGCAGGGTCACTGGCTGGGAAGGCCTCCCGTGTGTGGAGTTTGTCTTCGCGGCCTTCCCGGAGCTTGCATTCATGGCATTCAGCGCCACGTCGGTGCTCCGGTTAGCCACTGTGCTGCTCAGATTGCCCGAACTGCTTTTGTTGCCGGCCGGGACCTGCAGAGGTGGAAAATCAAGCAGAACATGAAACTGCCAAGACAGCCAATTGCAAGCGCGTTCTGCAGTTGTTTTAGCATTAGGACGCCGAAGGAGTCACAAACGGAACACATGCAATCGCATGGTGTTGATTCGAGGTCCATCCATGTCGCCACTTGGCAGCCGGACATGGTCTGGAATCACACTCTTCCTTGGGGGCATCTGCCTAAGGCAGGTTGCCACGCTAACCGTTGTTGAGGTTGATGTCGTTCGTTAACAGCTGCAGGGCTTCCACGCACTGGAAGTGGCTGCAGGTTCAGCGGGAAGTGGCTGCAGGTTCAGCGAGATATCCGGGTGCTTCTGATGGACGTATTCATCCTGCGGCTGGGCTAGTCGGACGGCTTCAACAGCGACAGCAGCGCCGCCGAGAAATCTGGCGACTCAGTTTGCAAATCCGCTGCAGCTGCTATTACCGATTTGCGATGACCAGGATCCAGAACCTGAGCAGCTTGCAAATGCCTGCATCTTTGTGCAACTTTACGGACTCTGGTTTGACCCATCATGACCACAGAGCCAGGCCACTTTTCCCTTCGGGAATTCGTCCCACTTTGTGGAGCCAGTCTTGTAGATCCTGACTCGGCCCTTCGGTGGGCTGGCCTTCCTGCACTGCAAATGCAGCTAGGCAGCCAAGCAACTCTTGCATGAGCTATGCGAATCAACGGTCCTGTGGGCCGTCGGCAGCTGCGGTACGGCAGGTGCAGGCCTCTGCAACGCTCCGGCGCAAAGCTCCAGCGGCCAACGCAGAGCCTGGAGCTTACCGCAGCACTGCGAGCTCCAAAACCAGCTATGCAGCCTCCGCTTGTGCCAGCCACAACTGCTCACCATAGCAGCAGTTGAACCTTGGCAAAAATGTCACAGGCCCGTCCAGTGTTGCAGGTATGGTTGGAGGACCATGGACCGTGCATAGTGTTGAGTTGACTGGTTGAATATGTCTCTTAATGTGGCAAAGTCTTCGGATTTCTGTTCAGGGTTCGGCGGGCGCACACATTGAAGCTTGCCAGGTCACGTTATCCGCGTGTACACTGCCGATTGGATGACTTCGGGTGGAAGAGGCGGTCTGTGCACACGAAGCGGTGCTAGCTAGATACGCTTGGCAGCCACAGCTACACACGGCCTTTGCACATCCGGATGCTGCTGTGAGAAGATCAGGGAGGCCTCTTCCTGCAAAATGTCGGGGATTACATGCAATCGAAGTCACTGAGTAAAGAACCTTTGAGACACGAGCTTGGTAAAAAGTCCTTCTTCAAGAATGCTCTCCACGTCTGCGTCGCACATTCGGCAGCCCAAAAGGCATGCTGAGAGCTGGCAGGAGAAGTCTCTTCCAGCTGCTGACAGATCCAGCTGCAGTCGCGGGCACTGTTGCTCGGGACTCCGACCTTCGCCCAAAGCCGAGCCGACTCTGCTGCCACTGAGAGGAAGGAAGCACAAAGCAGATGCTGGAGTTGCTCGGCATACACCTTAGACTCTTGGACCATTCCGAGCTCCAGCCAAAGTCTCCCATTGGACAGCTGAGACGCATCCAAACGTCCCGGACCCGTGTACTTATGTGGTTGTCCAGCTTCTTGGCCCTGACGACGTGCTATGTTCTGTCGCATCACCTGACACATGGAACAAACCGGGCTGCGCAGCTACCAGGCTCGGAACCTTGCCTCTTGATCTTTGAGTCGCTGCTCGCGTCTCGCCTGCAGCCAACACTGTCTGCAAGTCCCTGAACGCAAATCATTTCTCAGCTCCTCATGATCACTTGTCCAGCAGCGCTCAAATAATTTGTCGCTTGCTGCCATAAGGGTGAGATCCTGCCAGCAGCTGATGGGTGATCGTGCATCTTGGGTGAAGACATCCGGTTTTTGGGGTTTGCACCCTTGCCACAAATGGGCTTAATGTGACAAAGTAAGTTTGCATGCACCTCATCCAAAGCTTTGCCACGCCGCTTGATTGCCAAGGACACCTCATACTCTATCCTAAGCTGTCACAAGCATTCTGCTCTCCGCAAGTAACACAAGGCAGCTGCAGCGAGTGTGTGACTTAGTTCCACCCCTAAGTCAAGCAGCCATGGGTCAATGAGCACCCTGTTGCGAACTTTACAGCTTTGGAGAGGGAAGCTGGACACAGCTACAGCTACATATGCTATGCCAAGCAGCTCTCGATAAAGGAACGACCAGGCAGCTGCCCATGCCTCCAAAGCTTCTCGGTCGCGTCTCTTCGGCGCCTCAGATACATCAAGACCCCTGCTTGGCAGTCCCAGTGCAATGAACAGATCTGCACATGCTAAAAGCTGAAACCAGGGCGTAGGCGAGGAGTACAAAGAAAGCAAGGGGCAAGCTGCTGTCTCTCATGTAAGATCACGTAAGAGTGAGTGAGCGAGCGAGCGAGTGAGTGAGTGAGTGAGTGAGTGAGAGTCGACCAGCACATACGGTGCGGCTTGCCGCCCACGTCCCTCTCAACATCTCAGGGGGGCTCCGAAAACGTCATCGCTCCCCCTCCGTCGCAGAGTTCAAGTGGGGGAACTAGCTAATGCGGGCAGGAGGCATGAGAAACCCTGCTTCCTGTAGGAATGTGAAGAGAGAAGAGAAAAGGTTTGCACCATCGCTGCACACGCGCTGGGAGGCACCGGAAGTAATAAGTAGAGACGGGCAAACTCAGTAAAAGCCAGAGTGTCCTTAAGAAGGCGTTGTGCTGTTCGGTGTTTGCAAAGGTGCACGTACTTCTACATCGGAGAGAAAGGAAGGAAGCCGCAGAATGAGTCTAACGGAAATCCCAACAATGTCCTAAACATTGCTGAAACGTTCTCAGTGAGAGCCTACACCAGCACTTGTCAAGCGGCATGTGCTAGTGCGTGTGTCCCTGAGCTCACCAAAGCCGCCTTCAGAAGATTAATACCTAATGTAAGAATGACGGCCCCAGCAGAAATAGCCGTAACACAATTTTGCTTCTGTGCGGTGGCAACATCAGTACATACCTGCAAGATTTGTCCTTGCACAGACCGCAATCTGAACAATCGGGAGCCAGCACCGGAAGTATCAGCAGTAAACCTATGATGTAAAATGCATGCACAAGTAGTAAATGGATTCAACAACGACGCCTCAACAGAAACATCCCAATTGTCGCACGTTGCCTGCCGTTGCAATCTCTACGTGGATGTAGTTGTCTGTCATGTCCCAGAAATGGTCGAGGGTCAAATGTCCATGTGTCCATTGCACGTAGCCGAGGGCAAGTAGCGCACGCAGCCAGTGCTGAGAGAGAGCTAGGCCACTCCAAGCACAGAAGGCAAGCGTTTGCTGCGTTCGGATACCGCGTGCCAGGCGCAGAAGGAGCAGCGCTCCAGCGCCGAGGGCACACGGATCACCGAAACCAAAACCCCACCCCGGAAGGAATAACACCAAGGAGCTCCACGGCCTTCAGATCAATTTGGTTACCAGAGAACAATATCGGCTCCCAAAAATTTCGCAGCCTTCGTATACGCATGACTTGTTGATGATTCATGCAAACAGGTCCATTTGCCGGTAGGTCCTGTTGAGATCTAACTTGTGCCATCCCCCCCGGATCTTCCTACGTATACAGCCGCAAACCAGCGGCGCTCCTGCAGTGCAAAAAACAATTGTTCGTCTCCATTTGTCGGGGTGACATCATGTCCAAGCCTGCAATCCATACAATCCAACAGCAAATCAAAACCCTGAGCATGGACTGCCCACATGTAGATCACGTTGGGATTCGGATTAACATTGGCGTACATTGTCAACAGCTGACAAACTTGAATGGTACTGTCGCCCTAGTGGGAGGGGCCAGGGCAGGGTAGGGGGTGCTCGTCGGGAAGAAGTCCTTAGTACCGCCCCCGGGGTCCACACCCAGAAGAAGCCCAGGCCCCAAATGTTGTTCCTTATTGGACCTGTTTGAGGAAAAACTTGCGCCGTGCCAACCTGCTCGCAAGGGTTGTTGATTGTTCTGGCCAGGCTTTGACAGCAGCCGTGCTTTCAGAGCCCTTGCAACACTAGCTTCTGAAGAAACCGGACAAAAACAGCACCCCAAGACTCCTCTCAACCCCAAACCCAACACGGGCTGGTGTGAGGTTCCCCACGCTGCTCTGCTGTTTACCCTTGCCCAGGCTGTCTCACGTTAGCGGTTGAATCATGGTAGCCAGCTTAGCCTAGCACCTTGGTTAGCTTCTTGATCTTGGTCGTGAAGTCCAGCACTTTGATGTCGGGCAGGAAAGCCTCCTCCAACACGCAGCGCGAGCAGCTGCAGTGGAAGTCGTACTGACCTGTGCTGACAAGGCCCGGCTGCTCACCCGACACCTACCGTACTCATACATGGCCCGGAAGTGTAAGACTTGCGGCGAGGAAGTCCAGTGATAATGCAGGCCAAGTGCTTTCGAGCTCTCGCCGGCGAAGCGCAAGTGGGCGGTCTATTCGAACATAGTTGCAGAAGATCTCTTCGCCCGTCTGACACGTATGGTTGTAAGGTGGTTGTAAGCACACTCAAAAAGAAATGCGGGCAGTCTGTGTTCACAATGACACTGTCACAAGAGTCACAAGCGCACCTCAAGCTCTCGTGCTGCTCGACAGATCATCACATCACCGACAAAGTTCAGACTGACATTCGGCCTGCTTGCTGTACTGGACGCTGCACCGTTTTGTTGTTTGTATCTGAAGCACGCATTCTCTGTTTCCACTGCTTACTACATCAAGAGCGCTTCTTCAGGCGCCTGCAAGCATGGTTCATGGAAGCGGCCAGCGGCCAAAGCCCCCAGAGCTTCTCCTCAATCTCTCCCGTGCTGCTCAAGGTGACACGGCTCCGCATATTCAGCTGCAGGATCCTGCAGTGAGAAACTTTCAGAATTGCGGCAATCTGCTTGAGAAGCTGGTGCGTCCTGCGTACCTTTGCTTCATTCACAGCTCGCACTTTCGACCTCACCGCAGCTCCCGCAGCTCCCGGAGGTACCTCCAAGCGCAAAGCTGAAATATCTCAGAAGTTGATCTGCCAATGGTTCCGCTGAGGTTCCCCCAATGCAGCTTCCTCAGCTTGCCCTTTGGAGTCATGATAAAGGCCCATGAACCTGGCAAAGGCAGGGGCCAACGGCACTGTATTTCGACCTGAAGTTGACAGAAACGATTGCTGCGACTCCGCAGCTTGCTTGACGAGACGCCGATCGAAATCCATCTGCCGGCAGCTCTCCAGCTTTTTCACAGCTGCTTCAAGCAGCTCATTATGACATCCGATCGCAAAAGCCTTCCTGAGCCAATCTTGCAACCATCTGATACCTTATGCTAAGATGCTCAGCCTTGCACGTATCTAGATCAGGTTGCTGATTGATTGATGCCTTCTGTGGGTCGCTAGGACTGCGTTCTTGCTTGCAAAGCTTCTCTACGAAGAGCAGATCTCCCAGCTGCACCTTCCGTTTGACCTTTGAGTGATGTTCCAAAAGCGCTCAAAATGAACCACTTCACACCCAGCACTTTGCTAGCTGCACTGAACTTCCTATCAGGTCACCCGTAGCCCGCGCTGGCCCGGCATCTTGCGCACCATGCGGCTGTAGCCTTGCCCAAGCATGTTTTAATCAAACCATTGCGCAAAAAGCCTGGGGCGTGACATGCTTGCATCCATCGTTGCAAGTCCAGCGATAAGGTGGTGAAGACAGATGGGAGCTCAAGACAGAAGACAAGAAAAAAAGATTGGTGTTCTTTTACCTTCAACGCGCAGTGAGTTGATGCGGGTTGCACCACCCCCTGGCGCAGGTCTAAAGCTAGCAGCTAGAATCTGCCTTCGGAACGAGGAGCTTGCCAATCAATTCCAATCAACATAATGATAAAACAATAGTACATCTCAGGACTTGAAGCATCAGGCATGACAAAACGAGTCTGCACAGCATCCAAACATTGGGTTGTTTGATGCAAACCAAGGAATTGGCTGAATGCTTTATCGATTCATTTCAGTGACCAAATGTTTGAAAGTTGGCTCTTTGAAGATCCAACCCTTGGAGTTGGTATTTGGAATAGGGGTGGCCACCGCGGGAGCCTTGAGAGGCCTCCCATCCACTAGATTCATGCAGCTCAGTTTGGAAGGAAGAAATCAGAAACACACAGTTCTCATGAGCTGGCTTCCTGCCACTGCAAGTTCTGGAGCATCTCCGCTTCGGCTCAGCAGCGCTGCAGTGTCTGCCTATTCATCCAAGGGTTCACAGCATTTTCACAGTAGCCATTTGTTCTCAAAAACTGTGCCAGCCTTGAACAGCTCCCGCCATTGGTAGTGTCCATGCTGTTCCTGATGGGCTTGAACGTTTTGGGGCGGAATGCCTTCTGAATTCTCCTGCCTTGAGATGATGCAGTGCCTGCCGTAGGCCCCTTTCACATTTCCTCTGAAATTCGGGGCTTCTACCTGACGCAGGGACTTTCGCAGCTGAAAGTCACTCGCCTCCTACCTACCGAAAAGTCGAACAACTTGAAGAAGACAAACTGATCTACATCCTAACAAGAAGCTGATTGCTTGACCTTCACTAACCACGGAACATTGTTGCGCAAGGCATTTTAGTGACAGCGGAAAGGGTGGTTGGCCGTGGCCTGAGAGGCAGGCGGCTTTCCCGAAGTACGACACTGCGCCTTTGTGGTTGCCTTGCAGATCTTCTGAGCGGCCCTTCACGAAAATTGCCTCTCAACAAAAGATGGTGGTTTCCACAAACAATGCACATCGCATGTACACCCCAACGACCAGGGGGACTCCCAAAAAGCAGTCGTTAACTGTCGAAAATGGAGGGCAAGCAGCGCATGCAGGCCTTGAAGTCATCACAGGTCTCCACGGGCGCTCCAACCATAGTCACAGCCAACCAACAGCAGCGACCGCATGCCCGATCAGTTCAGGTATGTTTACATACAAAATGCATCAGGGCTAACATGCGAAGCCCAAATCTTTGACAAGAAAGGAAGATGCCACATGTTTATTGAGAAGTTGAAGGCTGCCTAATCAATAATAGTTTACTCCAAGAGAAGCACCTTGAGCAGAGAAGCCAGAATGGTCAAAGCGTTGCAAGCACAAGGAAACACAAGCTGCCTTTAGTTGAACCCTCGACCCTTCCCCCGAGGCCTGCGGCAGATCTAAGGCGACTTGCAGAAGGCATGTCTCCTCAAGTACGTCACTGAAGTCACGTGCGCTATGTATCCACGGGCACCCACTGCTTCTCAACCGGGAAGACTTGCAGGCACTTGCTCGCTCAAAAAATGCATCAGTGAGTGTATCCGCATGTTTTGCACTATGTTCTTGCTGACTTGAAGCATACCGACATTGTCATTTTTTCTCACCTATTCCCCACGTTTTCCGTCCAGTTCCGCTTTCCCTGATGCCTTCAAGAGGGTGAGCTGGTGAGCTCTTTTTCTGGTCGTTTTTCGCAGTCCCCCGCCAGTAGGCCCAGTAGGCGCTGCAAGCACAGACAAGGGGGCACGACAATGATTTCCAATATGTGCGCACAGGCTGTCGCTTTTGCAAGCTTTTTAGGCTCTGCGAGGCTTCTTACTCATCGGTACAATATACTGACATACTCTGACATTGCAGCATGCTGGTCTTGACTGGATGGATCCCTGCAAGCATCTTGGATTCTGTGGCTAGAGGGAATAACCACTATGCCTGCTCTCGTCTGGCATGACTTGGCAGCACAAAACACAGCCAAAATCCACCTGAGCGCTCCTGATAACTTTCCTGGGCTGCCGCTATGATGCAGGTCACCGCCAGCACCGGCCGTTGCATCCGCTGATTCACCTGCAGCATCAGAAGTGGCAGTAGGCTTATATCAAGCTCTGCATGCAAGCTTTGAATGACGCCGCTGACTTCTTTGCCTCAGAAGCGACCTCTGATTCGGTTCGGTATCACAATGCCCGCGCCCTTGGCGGCTGGGCACCCGTCAGGTTTGAAGAGGGCGCAAAAGTGATTTTCAAAATGTGCTCTAGGTTTGAGAGCCTCCAAGCCGCGGCCCAAGAGAGCCAAGCTCTCATGGCGCTGAGGCAACTGGGTGCTGGGTCTCTAAATATCAAGTTTCGAGCAAAATAGCGGAGAAAAGCACAATACGGCAGCTTGAAGAGACATCGGGAAGCAAGCTACGCGCCATCCTCCACGCCTCGCTCATGGCTCGGAATGCAGCTCGGGTGGCCTTTCCGCTTTGGCTAGCAAGCTGCAAGGGGAGGCGAAAGTTACAATAGCTTCAAAGCTCAGGAAGGAATGGATGTCGACCAAGGCTGCAACAGCAGGGGCGCATTCAGCAGAGATAGAACGAGGCCGCGGCCGGAAAAGAAATCAAAGCATAACGCAAGATGAACCCAGCAGATTGTTCTGTATTGTCTTACGGTTGCTACTGGCTTCTACAACTGGTGGTGAGGAGGTTTTGCAAACAAAACAACTCGCACGTGCGACCAAGCGGCTTACAGGTTGAGTTGTTGGGTTTTGCTCATGAAGCTGCAGCATGTCCAAATGTCACCTAAACAAGTGCAGGCACTGGCCAGATGCCAAGTCCGTTAAACCTCTGTGCGTTGCTTGAGTGCTGACTTTCCTTGACAGATGCTATGCGGAATCATGTGTTCAACAGAGACTGCGGCATGCACTACGCAAATGAATACGCATGTTCGATCACTTCCAGGCACATCTGTTTTAGATCTTCAGGCTCACCACCAGCACAAGCAGCTATTGCTCTCCCGTCCCATTTGCATCTTCTACCTTTTTTGCACCTCACCCTCCTGTCTTTCAACAAAGACCATCTCCCGAGGCCTGGAAACATCCACCTGCCAATTCTGATCTTCACCAGGCAGGCAGGTGAAGAGTGAAAGCTCACCTTGCCCTCTCTCTCCTCATCTTGCCCTGGCTTCCACATCCGTCAGTGCTGCGCACCCCAACCCCACTCGGCCTCCTGTCAACATGACAACCCCAGGAAAACAAACAGCCACTGCGGCAACAGATCGGCATCCCTGGTGAATTCGCTTCGCAGTGCAGATGCTGAGGTAGAAGGTTTGGTTGCACACTCCCTTGTTCTGGTGCTTCTGTTTCTAATCCTTCTCTCCACCTCCGCATGGCAAGCTCTAGACAAACAGGAAGTCGCTTCACATGCTTTTTCCACGAGCTCACAAGCCACTGCTTCTCAGAGCATCCTGCACCTCGTCATGGCATGACTTCTGATTGATCAAGGCTGCGTAAACTGCTCCTGCAGCTCACGGAGTTCATGTTGCCCTGTTGAGTCACCTGGCCTGCTGAGGTGCAGCGGCCAGTAGCACCTCAAGCGCGTCCCAAACCGACCAGCTTCGGCAAGAAGACGGCCTGCCGACCTTCACCTGCTCGCCGTGCGTGGTACCCAGCTGCTTTAACCAGGCCTCAAGTCCAATGCAGTCGTGCCTTTAGTCCCGAGGACTGTCCCCCAAAGAATATTACAACTTTGCTGATCTCAAAACGTACTACCCACCCCCGAAAGGCTCCCTCAAGGATCGAATGATCATGCTTCTGCTTCCTGCCCCCGACCTTCATAAAGCTGGAACAGTCACTCCAGAGCTAGGCGCGCTGCAGCCAGCCGGCCGAAAAGCCAGCCTTGCATCCATGAAGAGCCCTTTCCACTTTCATGTCAAAAGCCCGTTTGGGATATTTGGTTCATCTTCGTTCGCTTGCTGTGTTGCCAGACCTTTGCACCACATCCTGATTGACCGCTTTGCAATTTCCAGCCCTAACCGACATGTCAGCTGTCCTGTCCCAAGGCCAGGCCAAACCTAATGCGGCAGGAACAAATTACATCCCGAAACCCACGAGGCCAAGAGCTCTATAGGGCATCGCGATCTAAGCATTGAAGCTTTGAGCCACCTAGGAGCGGGTTGGTGGCAAGATGAAAGCCAGGGCCAAGACAAGCTCGGAGCAGCTTGTGCAACAAAAGTCCATATTGGCCCCCCCTGTTTGATGGCGTTGAATGTTTCACCACGGCAGGCTTCAATGCTTTGACACTTGAAGAGCCAGGATGCCACCAGAAACTGTCAATGAGAGAACGACAGCATGAGTTATGAAACCCAGCGAAATAATGAAGGCCATAAAACCATGCCTTGGCTGGATCATGGGGTCATACAAAAGCTCTTCTCATACATGCGCAGCCATAGGGAGCTGGTTCTGTAAATGCTTGCCGACCTGCTGTCCATGCATCACCTTCGCTTTTGGCTTGCTTCCGATACACAAAACATCACAAGACCATCAGACGTCAACAGGCTCCTTGGAGCTTCGCAACATGCCTGACGCTTCTCAGAGTCTGAAGGCTCTCCTAATTAACTCACCGGTGTGCACCAGAAACAGTGCTGACTGGCTAACTCCCCATCCGAAAATCGGCATCGAATCCGGAAAGGATCCGAAAAGCAGCCTACATGTCTGGGCAGTCAAGCACAATCCGGAAATATTTACAGACTAAACCATGCGCCATCCCTCGATGGCAAGCCTGCATGCGAGACTTGTGCGTGCAGCTGCCCCGAAGGGCTTGCAGGATCAGGAGCCGAACTGCTCAATGCCAGACTTGCCGGTGTACAGGCCTGCAGCGATCTGACCAATAGCTGCGAACATAGCGATGCGTCCGTTGTTCAACTCCCGGGCCCTCATCTCATCTGAGTAGTCGTCACCCACCAGCGGCAAGGGGTTGCCAAAGTTGCCCGGCTCTTTGCCTGGGCTAGGGTATTTGCGAGAATTACTTGTAAACTTGGGTGGTTACCAGGAGTTGATGGCTGCTTGGCTTTTTCGGAGGTTTCGCCGATCCTTTTTCTCCTGCATGTCTGATGTCGCCTGGACGAAAAGCTTTGGGAATCAAGCTCTGAAGGTGACGCTGACACACTCCAAAATCACAGGCCTGACACGGATGCAGCCCATACAAATTCCATGCAATGACTCTGACTCCAATCTCGCTGATAATAACATGCTGACACTGACCTGCCCATGGTACACATGGCAAAGGCAACCTCCCCCATTCTCGTACGAACATTATTGAAAAGATTGGCTGTCTACCGTGACCATGGCTGTGACACTGCTCCAGCAGTGAAACGGGAAACTTCACAGCCACGCAGAGCACGGGCCCAGTATTTACCCCTAACGATGGCAGCCTTGACAGGTTTGCGAAGGGAAGGGGGGCATGCGCCAACCTGAACAGTTCAGCTTTAACTGCCTCAACCCTATCCAACCCAGTACGGTTACTCCTATTCTTGGAGAAATTGAGATGGACCCCCCAATTCTCTGGCATGAAGCTTGCACTGTAGGGCTTGGCCATCCCCTGTATGAATCTGATTCCCCCCGCGAAGGATTGCAGAAGTGGACCAAACAAATTTTTTTTCGGGGGGCAAGCTCAACCTGCAACACGGCGGCAAACTGCTCAGTATCAGCAATAAAATGTTGTAAAATATCTTTTTGCAAAAGTTCAGTAACAACCTCAAAATTATCGGCAAAGACATGAGGGATAGCGGTCCGCTCACCCGATTGGACCGCAGAGATGCAATCTGGATTACGTGAGACTTTAGCGGACCAGAGCCAGCCACAGAGAA